CTGCCAGGCCCCTAATCTGCCATGGGCCCTTTTTTCCGCCTCCCATGCTGCTGCGGTCCAGAGTCTTCTGGGCCCCTGTACGGCCCTCCCATTGCTGCGTCCCCATGCCACACTTCCCATGTGCCCTTTCAGGTCTCCCACACCCTGCGGGTTTTGTTTTTGAATTTTTTGACATTGGGTGCTGGAGATTAGGGCCCCCATGCTGCTGCCGGGCCCTAATTGCCATGGCCCCCTTTTAAACCCGCCCCCTCATGCTGCTGCCAGGTCTCCTCACACATGCTGGGGTGTGTAGAATTTTTTTGACATAGGGTGCTGGCAGATTTACGGGCCTCCCATAGCTGCTGCCTGGCCCCTAATCTGCCATGGGCCCCTATATTTATACAGCCTCCTCATGCTGCTGCTCTCAGGGTCCCTGTACGGCCCTCCCATGGCTAGCTGTTCTCCATGCCATGCCATGTGACCACTACTTTAAGGTACTCCTCATCACTGCTGGTGTGTTGAATTTTTTGACATAGGGTGCTGGCAGATTTCGGGCCGCTACTATAGCTGCTGCCAGGCCCCTAATCTGCCATGGGCCCCTATATACCGCCTCCTCATGCTGCTGGTGTGGTCCAGAGTCTGTCTGGGTCCCTGTACGGCCTCCCATTGCTGCTGTCTCCATGCCCACACTCTGCCATTTGTGCCACTTTCAGGTCTCCTCACACACTGCTGGTGTGTTGAATTTTTTGACATAGGGTGCTGGCAGATTATGGGCCTCCTATAGCTGCTGCCAGGCCCCTAATCTGCCATGGGCCCCTATATACCGCCTCCTCATGCTGCTGCCAGGTCCACAGTCTCTCATGCCATGTGCCACTTTCAGGTCTCTCACACTGCTGGTGTCCATCGAATTTTTTGACATGCCAGGGTGTGGCAGATTATGGGCTCCTCCACATAGCTGCTGCCAGGCCCCTAATCTGCCATAGGCCCCTATATACCGCCTTCCTCATAAGCTGCTGCCAGCTGCCAGCCAGTCTCTCATGGGTCCCTGTACGGCCTCCCATTGCTGCTGTCTCCATCGCCACACTCTCTGCCATGTGCCACTTTCAGGTCTCCTCACACACTGCTGGTGTGTAGAATTTTTTGACATAGGGTGCTGGCAGATTACGGGCCTCCCATAGCTGCTGCCAGGCCCCCTAATCTGCCATGGGCCCCTATATACCGCCTCCTCATGCTGCTGCCAGGTCCAGAGTCTGTCATGGGTCCCTGTACGGCCTCCCATTGCTGCTGTCTCCATCGCCACACTCTGCCATGTGCCACTTTCAGGTCTCCTCACACACTGCTGGTGTGTAGAATTTTTTGACATAGGGTGTTGGCAGATTACGGGCCTCCCATTGCTGCTGCCAGGCACGTAATCTGCCATGGGCCCCCGTACCGACTCCTCATGCTGTGACGTTGCAACAAGGTGGAATTCAACCCTACATATGTTAGACCGCCTTTACGAACAGCGAAAGGCCATCACAGATTTCCTGATGTTAAAAGCGGATAAAGGTACTCCCTGTGTAACTTAGATGTCAGCCATTGGCAGCTCATGCGTGACACCTGCGCTTGCTCAGGCCCTTTGAGGAGGCCACGCTATTCGTGAGTCGGCAGGACTATGGGATGAACGACGTCATTCCTCTGTTGCACGTCCTCTGGAACAAATGCTGTTAACAATGGCTGGTCAGGGTGCGGTAGACGTGGCGCACAGATCTCAACGCCACATGACCCCTGTGGGGGCAGGACAGGAAGAAGAGGAGGAGGTAGAGGAGGACATTGGTGCTCAGGAATTATTGAGTGAAAATGGGTGGTTTTTCCACTCAGCGGACAGGAGTGGAGGAGCAGGAGCATCTGGTAGAGGAGGGAGGGGAGGAGGACAGAGGACCCAGACGCACCGTGGCAGTATGCTGTGGAGATGGAGGCAGGGAGTCCCTCGCATTCCTTGGCACAAAATGGCCCATAGCATGCTCGCTTGCTTGCGTAGCGACAGCCGAATAATAACCATCAGACAGAGGGATGACTTTTGGCTGTCCACCTTGTTGGACCCTCGCTACCGTTCAAAAAAATGGTGGCCTTTTTCACACCTGCTGAGAGGGAGGCCAAAATAACGTACTATAAAAACCACCTATGTAGTCAGCTGGTCTCTGCCTGTCTGCGCCAACGTCCATCCTCAGACACTGTGGGCCCTGTGCGCTCGCGTTCCGCTGCCATGGCAGCAGGGGAGGGGTGGGGTGGTAGGAGCAGTGGCAGCTCCACCAGCAGCGGCTGCCTCAGTCTGCAGTCGATGATGAGTAGCTTTCTTCACCAGCGCAGTGAGGAAAAACTACTAACCAGCCGCAGCAGCAGCAGCATCAGGTGGACCTGGAGCAGGACCTCAAACAACAGGCTTAGGCCTACTTGGACAGCACCCTGCCAACCGAGGTAGACAATCCCCTTGACTACTGGGCAACGAAAACTTGACCTTTGGCCCCAACTAGCTGAATTTGCCCTTGAAAGGCTGTCATGCCCGGCCAGTAGCGTGGCATCGGAGCGCGTGTTTAGTGCGGCAGGAGGTATTGCAACTCCGCGGAGGACACGACTGTCCACCCAAAGTGTGGAGAGACTCACGTTTGTGAAAATGAATCAGGCGTGGATTAGTCTGGATTTCAAACCACCAGTTCCTGACACAACTGACTAAATCCGCCATGAATCATGCCCCAAACATGTGCCACTTTCAGGTCTCCTCACACTGCTGGTGTGTTCCATTTTTTGTCATAGGGTGCTGGCAGATTACGGGCCTCCCATAGCTGCTGCCAGGCCCCTAATCTGCCATGGGCCCCTATATACCGCCTCCTCATGCTGCTGCCAGTCCAGAGTCTCTCATGGGTCCCTGTACGGCCTCCCATTGCTGCTGTCTCCATCGCCACACTCTGCCATGTGCCACTTTCAGGTCTCCTCACACTGCTGGTGGGTTCCATTTTTTTGTCATAGGGTGCTGGCAGATTACGGGCCTCCCATAGCTGCTGCCAGGCCCCTAATCTGCCATGGGCCCCGTAACCGACTCCTCATGCTGCTGCCAGGCCCGTAATCTGTCATGGGCCCCTGTTGTCGCTTGTTGGCATATTCCGCTCGTTCAGATGCTCCTTCTCCTGCTACTCCTCTTCACGGATTCCGTCAGCAGTCTTTCTTGGAATCCGTTTCCAAGAGACAACAGTTTGCGAGCACGCACCAGACGGTGCAGAAACTGAACGTCCTCCTGTCCAAGTTGCTGCTGCCAGGCTCGTAATCTGTCATGCGCCCCTGTACCGCCTCCTCATGCTGCTGCCAGGTCCAGAGTGTGTCATGGGCCCCCGTACCGACTCCAAATGCTGCTGCCAGGCCCGTAATCTGTCATGGGCCCCTGTACCGCCTCCCCATGCTGCTGCCAGGTCCAGATTGTGTCATGGGTCCCTGTACGGCCTCCCATTGCTGCTGCCAGGCCCGTAATCTGCCATGGGCCCCCGTACCGACCTCCTCATGCTGCTGCCAGGCCCGTAATCTGCCATGGGCCCCTGTACCGCCTCCTCATGCTGCTGCCAGGTCCAGAGTGTGTCATGGGTCCCTGTACGGCCTCCCATTGCTGCTGTCTCTATCGCCACACTCTGCCATGTGCCACTTTCAGGTCTCCTCACACTGCTGGTGGTTTCCATTTTTGTCATAGGGTGCTGTATGGCCTCCCATTGCTGCTGCCTCCACCGCCACACTGTGGCTCCACACTCTGGTTTTGGCCCCGTGACTGCCCAAATGAGTGAAGTGTGCGGTGATTCTAAGATCGACGGCACTCATCTGCATGTCATACTGCCTGACAGTATTATTTCTCTTCCCCAGCAGACTCCAAGGGCATTTAAATTAAAGGTACAGTGTTCAGCACTAATATTAAGTCTCTCTGAAGCCTAGAAACACCCTTTTTTAAGTTAAATTCACAGCGAATATATTCGACTCGAATTACGAATTCGCCGAATCAGTCGAATCGAATTTTGAATACTTCGCTCATCTCTACTTGTTTTATTGATTGCATGTAATATTCTAATTTTCTGAGATTGTGGATTTGGGGTTTCCATGAGCTGTAAAGCCATTATCATCACAATTATGACAAATCACGGCTTAAACTATCTTGCTTTGCATGTAATGAGTCTATCTCTTATATTAGTTTCACCTTTTAAGTTGCATTACTGAAATAAATGAACTTTTGCACGATATTAAAATTTTTCGAGTTTCACCTGTATAAACATTTTATACAGTATTTTTATTTTGTCATACATAGCATAGTATGGTTTTGGTAAAACATTCTTTGCCTGCCAGGTCTAGTGTTCATATTCTGAAAAAACCTTTATATAACGTTTATAGAGCAGAATTTTTACAATACATTATGCTGTACTTACTGACTTGCCATTATAGCAGGTGACTACTCTATATAATAAAGACTTTAAAAGACCAGACATTTAGATGTTGCTAAATGTGATACCGTGGTGTCCCTCTCCCTAAACTTATAAGGAAAGTATGCATAAAATGCATCAGAACATGGCAGGGACAAGGGGGGGGGGGGCAGGAGAAGAAGCTGCCCTGGACACAGTGGTTTACTGTAGGGATCGGGGCACCTTCCTTCTGTTGCAAGGCTGCTAGGAGTAATGACAGGAGCAGTGATTTTGATAAGGGAGTGACTGATGGGCGTAGGATCCCCTAAGCTTGCATATCATGAACAGGGAAGGGGGGGGGGGGTGCAGTTTGGCATCTTTGTCCTGGGTGCTGAATGACCTTGTCTCAGCACTGCATCAGAGTGTAAAGTATTGTACAATGTGCAGTTTATAGCATGTGCTGACTGAAGTGGTATGGAGTACATAATGTAGTTCAATCCCACGCAGATTTGTCCTGGGTTCTGTTCCCAACTGAGTGCAAAGCAGCAAGGCACAACTCAGCTCCCACAGTCTCACAATAGCATGAGCAGGGAGTGAGGGTCTTTTTAGGGTTTAATACTCATTGAACTTGGTGCAGGATAAGCCTTGGGATACTCCAAATTCAGTGTACAAAGTAGTAGAGGACACTCTCTGGTTTAATAGGCAAACAAAAAGCTGAGGGGACTCCAAGCACAGGAGCAGTCCTAAGTCAGCAAATCTGGAGCAGATGCTCAGAGTTAAGCACCAACATTCACTAGGATCTCTCACTCTGGCCTATACTCACAATGCCCCTATGTTCTTGGCTATGTCAAATACTAACCAGACACTTCTCCCATGAACCTCCAGACCATATCTTTAGTGAGCCTCCTCTAAACTGGCTCCAGCACCACTCAGAAAATAGGCCCCTCAGCTCTCCCTGAGCTGGGACCTCGATGAACTACTGCAGACTTCAGCTAATCCACCCAAAAGGACAGCAGCCCTTCAGGCTGGGCATTCTCCTCCTGGATAAGAACCCTGTTGCTCCAGGCCCCATACTATTTATTTATCTACCTACTGGGCATTCTCTCCCCCAGGGATTGGCTGAGACCACATGAATATTCAGCTACAGGGTCTGCCGCTTCCAGCCCACTACATTCTAGAATCCACTAGAAGGCAGGGGAAAATGGTTGAGCCTGCAGCCAGCAAGGCCTAGAACAGTCAGAAATAGTACACTGCTTCACTGATTACACAGGAGCTAAAAAGATTACATTTACCTTAACCTCTCTAGCAACCAATTCTAGGCTAGTTCTACATACATAAAATTGAACAGAGTGAAGCAGTTAGAAGTATACACTGTACTGATCAGAGTATAGCAGTGTGAAGTATGGCATAATGTACGGAGTGGGGGATGTGGGGAATATAATGTATAGAGCGGTGTACAGAATTGAGTTGCATGGTATAATGTACAGCAAAGTGTATAGAGCGGAGCAGTGGAGTATATAATGCACAGCACAGGTTAGAGATTGGACTGGTGTTTAATGTACAGCATGATGTACAGAGTTGATTATTTTGCAGTACATAATGTGCAGCAGAGTTTATTGAGTAAAGTGTTCTTGAGCATATACTGTAATATACAGCACAGAGTAAAGGATGAAGCATTTTGAAGTACCAAATATATAGCATAGGGAACAGAATGGAGCAGTATGGAGTACAGCATGAACAACACAACATAAGGAGTTAAGTAGTGTGGAGTATATAATGTACAGCACAGTATGCAGAGTGCAGTAGTTGGAAGTATATCATATACAGCACCATGTACAGAGCGAAGTAGTGTAACTTATATAATATATAACAAAATTTACTGAGTAGTTCTCTGTATAGAATATAAGGCAAAGTGTGTAGATTGGAAGTATGTAGTGTATCTCACAGTGTAGAGAATGGAACAGTGTGTAGCATCAGCGGAGTCGCCATAGGGGTGTGGGAGGTACGCACCACATCCAGGTGACACCTGCCAGAGGGGTAACACCAGGGCCAGTGCCAGCATACGGCAGGAGGGGGGAACTTGAAGAGCAGCTCTGCCTCCTAGCCCCGCCTCTGAGCTCCATCCTGACTCTGGCTCCCGCTTCTTGCCTCCAGCAAGTTGTTCCTGCCATGTTGATAAGGTAAGAGAGTCCCCTCCTGCTCTGAGGCTGCTCCCCACTTCTCACACTGCCCCCCCTCCTGTAACTCTGCCCCCCTCCTCTCACACTGCCCCCCTCCTGTCATACTGCCCCCCTTCTGTCACACTGCCCTCCACCTCTCACACTGCCTCCCATCCTGTCATACTGCCCCCCTTCTGTCACACTGCCCTCCTCCTCTCACACTGCCTCCCCTCCTGTCACTCTACCCTCTTCTCTCATACTACCCCCCTTCTGTCAAACTGCCCCCTCCTCCTGTCACTCTTCCCCTCTTCTCACACTGCCCCTCTCCTGTCCTCTTGTGACTCTGTCCCTCTCCTGTCACTTTGCCCCCCTCCTGTCCTCTGTCCCCCCCTTCTGTCACTCTGCCCCCTCTTGTCTCTCTGCCCCCCACCTGTGATACTGCCTGCCTTCTCTCACACTGACCCCCCTCCTGTCACTCTTCCTCCCTCCTCACACTGCCCCCCTTCTGTCACTCTGCCCTCTCCTTGTCACTCTGCCCCCCCTTCTGTCACTCTGCCCCCCTTCTGTCACTCTGCCCCCCCTGTCATACTGCCCCCCCCCTTCTCCCTCCCCTCTCACACTGCCCCCTTCTGTCATACTGCCTCCTCTCCTCTCACACTGCCCCCTTCTGTCTGTCCTCTCACATGCCCCCTTCTGTCATACTGCCTCTCTCCTCTTACACTGCCCCCTTCTGTCACTCTGCCCCCCCCCCTTCTGTCACTCTGCCCGCCATCCTGTCACTCTGTCCCCCAGCCTGTCACTCTGTCCCCCATCCTGTGATACTGCTCTCTCCTGTGATACTGCCCCCCTTCTCTCACACTGCCCCCCCTACTGTCACTCTGCTTCCGCAAGAAGTGAAAATGCAAAGCAGGTCAAACACAGCCTCTGAACTGCCATGTGTACTGGTCAAAACTATTGTTAAATGCAGGAACACCTTTCTAATATGTAAAATGTATGTCATAGAAAAGTAATTATAACAATTACTCCCTTCAGACAGGGCATCATATTCCCTGAGTGACATAAAACTGACATATGTGATTAAACGAAGTCTATATAAGTAATGCATTTTCTATACTGCTAGTCACAATCCATGATAGATGTCTGTTTTTTTTAAGTTATGATATCACAATATTGTCTTTGTAGTGCCATTGTGGACAGGGAATGGAAAGTAGGTAAGGCATATCCTTTCTTTGCCTCACTAAATAAAACTACATTTTTGATTCTATGCGTTGTTGCAATTCAGCTAGTAACACGATTCATACAACACTTCACACAACTACATCATTTACATTGTACCACATTCTATTACAGCTGTACAGTTATCAGTTTATTCTTTTTTTTTATCCAAAAAATATTTTATTGGAAAAATTAAGGCAGATCAATATGAATAC